GATAGCTATAGAGCTATATAACTAGTACTTCTTCTTCTTATATTAAGCCTAGAAAACTCTTTAATAGAAAGAAAAACTCTACTTACTTTTATTTTTGCTCTCTAAAGTAGCTCTAGCTTTATGCTAGCTAGAATCTACCTACCTCTTATATACATATAAGTATTACTAGCTTTACTAGCTGTATTCTAGAGAGGCTAATAACCTCTAAAAACTAAGCCTACCTCTAGCTTTATGCTAGAGCTATACTGCTTCTGCTTATTCTTCTGCTATATTCTCTAGCCTCTAGTTGTTCTCTCTCTCTAGAGATGCAATTTATCTCTATATAGTATATTATTTATTACTATCTTAGAGGTAGGCTAGTCTAGCTTTAAGCTAATATATAACTATTAGTATAAATATTTAGTATTTAGCTATAATAGCTTATATAGTTAGATTTACCTTACTTTTATTTTATATATAAATTACCTCTTAGCTTTACAGCTAGCTATAGCTTAACTTTAGCTTTATACTAAAGCTATTTTATGCCTACTTAATTTCTTATTTTATCTATTAGTCCCTAATTATCTCTACTCTCTAAAGATATAAATTATCTTAGTATAGTATATTATTTATTGCTCTCTTAAAAGTAGGCTAGCTTAGTTCTATGCTGTTATATAGCTGCTAGCATAAATATTTAGTATTTAGCTGCAATAGCTTATATATTTAGATTTACCTTACTTTTGTTTTATATATAAATTACCTCCTAGCCTTATAGCTAGCTACAGCTAGCGCAGCTGCTACGCTAAACCTAAGCTCTTATTAGATATAAAGCTAGCTAAACTCTCTCTAACTTCCTTCTCTCTTTTCTTTCTCTTTTAACCTCTTGCTCTTAATATATACTAAATCTTGCTAATAAACTAGCTCTACTTACTGCCCTACTAGGCTTAGGCTAGTTTCTGCTTAAATTCTAGCTAACTTCTTGCTAGAGCTATTCTTACTGCTATTGCTGCTGTCTTTATTATCTTTAAACTCTATTAAAACTTATTGTATATATATATATACTTTATATCTATTTTATACTAGCTCTAAATCTAGAGAGTTGCTAATCTTTTTAGCAGCTATTACTATATCCTTCTTCTAGTCTGCTAATATAGAGAAAGTTATAGTAAGTTTAAGCTAGTGCTAGCTTAATCTCTACTTAATAGCTAACTACTATAAGACTTCTAGTGCCTTTAAAGGCAAAATAATAACTAAGTCTTAGTTCTAAAAAGTTGCTAGCAAGTTAGTATATATCTCTAATTCTGCCTTTATTCTAGCTCTAACTCTATATATAGCTTAGTTCTATCTATAAAGTTATATATATCTTTTATATTACTTAGATCTCTGCTGCTGCTACTACTACTAGCTTAGAGCTAGATAAGCTCTAGGCCTATTTATACTAGGAGATTATTAAGTTAAAGACTATATTATGTTTTAACTATTATATTTATAATAATTATTATATTTCTATAAGTTATTTTATCTCTACTTCTTCTCTAGCTTTAACTAAGCTATAGTATAATATAATATTAAAAATATATTTTATTTTTTTATGCCTTTAGAAGAAGCTAAAAGCTATAGCTAAGAAGATACTTTTCTATATTACTATAAGTAGTTTACTTTATCTCTAGCTTAATATTACTAACTCTTTATCTTAGTTTACTTCTTAATTTTTTAAGAATCTTAAGGCCTTAGAGAAGGCTAATAATTAGAAGGGGAAGAAGTAGGCTTAGTCTGCTTAGTCTAGCTTAATACTAGCTAGAGAATTAAATAATAGTATAAACTATTATAAAGAGATTCTAAGTTAGTTAGAGAAAATTATAGTATTAATTACTACTATAGCTATATTTATAGTAGAGTTAGTTTAAATTCTAAATAAGTATACTAGCTATATAGCTAAGATAAAGGCTTTACTTATAGCTTTAGATAAGTATAGCTTTATAGTAGAGCTTAATAAGAAGTAGTATATAAGTAGCTTTAGAGCAGCTATAAGTAAGTATAGTAGTAACTTTAGAGCGTAGAAGTAGGCTTAAAGAAGAGAGAGTTACTAGTTAACTTAAAGTTAGTTATTAAGCTTAAAGAAGAGAGAGAGAGAAATAAGTAGAGGTAGGCTAGCTTAAAGCTAAGCTTAAAGCGTCACTGGGCAAAGCGTCACTGGGCAAAGCGTCACTGGGCAA